TCATAAATTTTTGAATAATTTTCTTAATAATTAATGTTCCCTAATTAATTTGCCGATTAATCCCCGCCTAGCCGATTAATCCCTAATCGCTAGTCCACGGATTAACGATTTCTACAACCATGATATGTATACGATATCCTCGTGTGTATATATATATATATATATATATATATATATATACTAGAACCAAACTCTCTCTCTCTCTCTATATATATATATATATTATATATATATATATATATATATATATATATATATATATATATATATATATAGAGAGAGAGAGAGAGTTTGGTTCTAGTATAAACCTTATATATTGTGTGAATGTAAGACTTACTCTCCACCAATCATTTCATAAAGGTATTATAGTACATATGTTGAGTAATTATGCAGATAACCAAATTTAAAAACACATGATTTATTAAAGTTGAATAACCGTCATCAAGTTTAAAAACATATAATTAAGACTTATTCTTACCACCCATGTCATTTGCATTTCGTTTAACATCATCACAAGTTCACAACCATACCTAACACCGGCTTAAATTCTAACCATCTACCATCATAGATTCACCAAACCTATCATGACGATTTTAGTTTCTTACTAACAACTCCCCAACCTTCTTCTTCTTCTTCTTCTTCATGTCACCATCTTTACAACCGAAAGCCTCACGTATAGATCTGAGGGTCATCGAAGGAAGATTGAAATGCACTTGCCCTTTTTTTCATTGGAACAATGATGATTAGAATGTAATTTTTGGAGGATGGCAGTCACGATTTTATCTTCTTCTTTTTTTTTTTTTTTTTTGTGTGTTTGATTAACGTCTGCCAACTGTTTGGCGATTTTCTCATGTAATTTTGCATTTTTTTTGTCAATAGCACTATTAGTAAGTTCTTTTTTTCTTTACAGTAACTTTTGAGTAATTTATGTTTTTTTTTTTCAATGATATTTAGTCTAAATTTCTAGACTCTACAAAATCTCATACAACATGAAGTTACTTTAACCATTTTACCTCTATTACTTATATTAATATACTTCCATGATTGAGCTTGTACCTAATTTGTAGCTTGTCATCCCTATATTTTTGTCAAGAACATTAAATGTTACCCTTCAACTTGAATCCATAAAACATGAATATAGTACATGATGACTTGTTTTTGGAATTAGAGGTCAAAGCTCTCCTAAGTTTTTAATACATGTAAATTGATGCCCATACCTCAGGGAATTAGATTGGCTATTATGGCTTCTTAGGAAGAATTTATAGACCTGGAGGAGTGGTTGCACAACAACCGAAGTACATCTATACATATAAACATATGTTATTTGAGGTAAATCATAACTATAAAAACACATGACCATATGAATTAACTATGATATTTTACAATAAAGTTTTTGGGGTTTTTTCTAAGATAATTAGATTATATTTCTATCCTAACTAGGGGGTTGTTACAATAAATTTCAAGATCCAATAAATAGGTACAAATTAGAAAAACAAAATCAAAACATATGATCATCTGATATTGGGACATTATTACCATGTTCTTAAAGAATCCTAAATTTAGTTTACATGATATGTTATCTTATTCTTAAAGAATTCATGAGTTTTGTTTTCAAAAACTCTAGTTGGTTATAACAATTCATGAATGTTGTTTAGAATAATTACTGATTAATGGATTTTGGTTTCTTTTATATATATATATATATAATATATATATATATATATATATATATATATATATATATATATATATATATAATTTTTATCTCATTCTCAAAGAATCTTGATGTAGATATAAGAGTTCTACAAAATACATTCTGAAACTGATTCTTGGATAATAAAGTACAAAAAAGATTGAAATGAAGAATGGAAAAGAATTATTGGATGTAGCTACAAGTCAAGCATGTGTGTTTACTACAAGAATGTTTCATGTACTTATATTTTTTTCTTTCCTTTTTTCTATGTATTATTTCATGTACTTATATTTTTTTCTTTCCTTTTTTCTATGTATTATTCTTAAAGAATGTTTTTTTATTTTTTCAAATATGTTATATTTCTCTTCAAAAATGTAAGTTATGCATTTGGATTATCTTATTCTTTAAGAGTGTAGTTTATGAATTTACAATTCATATCTTATTCTTTTAATCTCACAAAATGTTATATTCTTTCAAGAATATTCTACATATATAGTTTTTTGGAAGATTCAACCATTTAAGTCGTTTCGTTATCCTCAAATTCTACAAGCATATTTGATTCTTTGTTAAGTTCAAATAACTCTTAATACGTATTTTTAAAGAATACATTATGCTTTATGAAATCCTTATTTGTATTACTATTTAAATGTTTTAAAAAAATATGTCAATGTTGCAATAAAATATTATTATTTTGATGCAAATTATTATTTTTTAGAATATATGCATATGTATATTTTTAAGAATATTAGTTGTTAAAACAAATCATTTGAAGAAAGTTATATTTTATAAGAATGAAAAGAATACGTGTTAATAGTAATATGATATAACTTCGTTTTGCTAAAAAAGAATGTAATTATCCATATTTAATTTTATTAAATAAGATAAATAAGTATTTAACAAAAATACAATCAAATTAAGAGATAATAAGGAATCTTTCATTTTTAAAAATAGGTTAATAGATTAAAATAACATTACAATAAATTAAATATATAGTTATATATTAAATGCTATCATATGTTATAGTAATATGTACCCTTAAATCATAAACCATTCATTAATTTAATCGAATAACTAAAAATAATCATATATTCAGACAATATTTGTAGTTATCGTGACAATAAATAGTATTTACGTAATGGTAGGGTTCTATTTATTTTAAATCTTCCTCGTTCAATAACGTTCTATGTGAGTTATCTTCAAGAGTGAGTTTATAACCTTATTCGATTATAGGTTACCTACTGATTGTATAAAGCTAATTACCAGTAAATTAATTCGTTTATGAGTACGTATTTTGTGTTTATACCTTTAATTAATACATTTTTCATACACTCATGAGAGGTAATCAATAATAAACTATGGATATAAACACACTCCCGACGATAACTTTCATATAGAAAGATATGAAATACAATGTAGAAGACTATTCTAACAAGACCTGACATTACATAAATATTAGGTCCACGCCGTAATGAGCAATCTCTAAGAATCAGGAATTTTTCATGCATCTAAGGACATTTTATCTTCACTTACATTAGATCTGATCCTTATATCACGAAGTATTAGGATCAACTTCTTCATACACAAGTTTACTTGAACCACATTGTGGAGTCTTCAACCTCCCGTCAAAAGGCAACATAGACACCCATTGAAGCCTTCAACTTCACATTATGACTACAGGGTGAGATAGTTTCACTTATCAAATTATTGGGTTTGACCAACCATATATGTTTGTTTGATTTACAAGGCACATCCATTTTGGTTGATAGTACATGTGAATATGTTTATGTAAATCATGAATAATTAATATGCATGGCTAATTTTAAATATTACTCGATATCTTAAGGACGAGATGTGTTGTTATATATATATATATATATATATATATATATATATATATATATATATATATATATATATATATATATATAGAGGAGGGTTCATGCGAAAATGTAAATAATTTGCGAAAACGCGAAAACAAGAAAAACCTATGATATTATATCACCTCAACATTATATTTTGGAAAATAATTCATCCAAACTTTGAAATACATGATGATAATCGATGATAGATGATAAACTGTTTCATATTAGCAAAGTATGATTTTTAACATTTTTATCATGAAAACATGAATTAAAAATGATTAAAGATGTGAAAAAAATATAATTATAAAAACCGTCTTTAAAACTATATTACCATAACACCATCCAATTCAAACTTACTATCTTTAATTTATTGCTAATAAAATTATTTTTTTTATAGTACATGTGTTTAATTTTCATAAGATAAAATCTGTTTTCGCGTTTTCGCAGGATATTTATATTTTCGCATGAACTTACTTCTCTATATATATATATATATATATTATATATATATATATATATATATATATATATTATATATATATATATATATATATATATAATATATATATATATATATATATATATATCCATCGTTAGCATACCGCAGACAATATATATCTTAGTCGTGGCTTTGTTAGTCCCTACAATCAAGCGATATAGTAAATGATAGCATTCCGCCTAGCCTGGGCTCGATGTATTGACCACTACTTCCTTAGCCTTGGCCATGAAACTATTGTTTTGGCTATGTCACCACAAATATTTTTAGGGGTTTTATAGCTTTTTTTTTTTTTTTTTAATTTTTTTTTTACACTTTAAGAGCTAACCCCAACAGAGAAGATGAAGAGAATTATGAGGGACATATTGAGAGCCAATTTAGTGATTATTTGTGTACTTCACCTTCGAAAATTGGTTTTCAATTAGGGTGATTTTAGAAACGTTTGTAGTAATACCAATTAGTTTTCTTGGTTTCGATCCATTTAATTTTTCCGTATTCATTTTTGGTGTATTCGCACTTCCCAGTATATTTTTAAAACAAGTTCAAGGGCATATGATATGATCATTTTACATTCACATATTTTCCAAACTCACATAGCTACAACCTATCTCCAACTCCCTACCATATTTAGTATTTGGTGGGACACGTGATAGCCAATATGTTCCCTTAGTGTGCGACACAAACTACAAAAGTCAGTTACATATAAGTGCACAACTAATAACATGACATTCTCAATCCTTCTGTATATTTGGGAGTTTGAAAGACAATCATAAACATAGATATCAACCACTGTTGTAGCTCAAGTGGTTTATCTTCCAAAATGATCCACAGCAAAGATCTTGCGGGACACCGCAAAAACCTCACAAGAGGCAGTTCATCACCAACTGGTTTGCAAAATAACCACATGACATAAACCCTAGAAACTTCATCACAAACCATATATAAGTGCATGGCTTCCATGATGATCTTCCTCAACAAACACGTTTGTGAACTTTCAGGCATCATACTAAGAAGAATTACAATGTTGAAAAGCAATATTATCCCTCTTACAGGTTCTTCCAAGAAACACCCTACTTATCGTGGAGTGAGGCGTAGAGGAAACAATGGAAAATGGGTTTCCGAAATCCGTGAGCCAAAATCCCCTAACCGGATATGGCTTGGTACATTCGCCACTGCTGAAATGGCTGCGGTGGCTTATGACGTGGCAGCGCTCGCACTCAAAGGTAGAGATGCCCACCTTAATTTTCCCGACGCTGCTTCTTCTTTGCCAGTTCCTGCTTCTTCTGCTTCTCGTGATATCCAGGCTGCTGCCACTAGTGCAGCGGCAGCTGCGGGGGCAGCGATGGATGCTTTGGTAAGCTGTCATAGTGGTGATGTTACAGCTGAGCCACCAGTGATTTGGATTGCCGATGAGTTTATCGATGAGGATCTAATATTTGATATGCCTAATATGATAAACAGTATGGCTGAAGGGATGCTTCTTAGCCCCCCTCGTTTTGACTTCATAAGCGATGAGAGTGCTACCGGATCTGCATTTGATCACAGCCTATGGAATTATACCTGAGTTGTCGATTTGTTCAACGCTACTTGATGTTTATATATGTCCGGTGTTTTTATT